TTTACTAAAGAAAATAACTCCCCATCAGCCTTTTCTCCCTTTTTCTTTTTCCCCATTCCCTCTATTTTGTGTGGTGCTGGGGACTAAACCCAGGTCCACTCTACCACTGAGCTGTACCCCAGCCCTTTTTATTTTGTATTTTGCAACAGGATCTTACTAAGTTTCCTAGGCTGGCCTGGAACTTGCCATCCTCCTGCTTTGGCCTCCTGAGTCTCTGGGATTACAGGCGTGCATTACCACACCTGGCTCCAAACTTAAAAATAATGATGTATCATTTTTAGAGGCTTTGTATGGAAAAATCCTATGGGGACAAAGCCCTCTGGGCAACTCCAGCTGATCTGGAGATGCAATGATACATGAATTTATCTTTGAATTTTTAAGAGATTCTTCATATGAGAATTAAGATAAGGTGTGAAATAAAGTGTAACAAAATGAGTTAGTCCTCTCCTAAGCTGTTTTGTGTTTGACAAGATTATAGCATTAAGAGGTAATGTAATAAATATACTAAAGTATTCAAATGCCAGATTTTTCTTCCTCATCTAGAATCCACAGCTAACTTAAAAGAAGTGAAATAAGTGGTCCTGTGAAAAGCTTACTCTGGGGACACTTTTGAAGCTACCCTAGGATTTTAGGGAGAGACCTAGCCACTTAAGGTGACTTATGGAGATAGAAAACCTGGCTTTTATACTTTATACCCCAGGTTGATCTGACTACAGAGGGACTGATTTTTGCTAACCAAAATCACATCTAGTGTAGATGCCAAGGGCTAATTTTCTATACACATTTTTGCTATGCTGACCAAAAAGTTACCAGCTGGCTAATGGTTCTGTGTCTCTTCTCTTTGGAGAGCTGATTTTAATCAAGAAGATGACTTAATAAGAACTGAAATTAGAACAGTGGTTGATATTTTCAAAATCTTTTTATTTTGGAAATTTTAAGACACAGAAGTTGAACAGTATAATTAGCAGTGTAATTAATCACTGTCAACTGATGACTATTAAGACTCATTGGTCAGTGTTTTTGTGTATGTATCCTGTCCTCTCATTTTCAAAAAAAAAAAAAAAATCTCTTATCCATTTAATCTGTAAATAATTCAGCATGTATATATAAAAGAAACTCTTAAACATATAGTTCATTAATATCAAATTGAATAAGCTTTTATTAGCTGAAGCTATCAAACTATAGTAATGGTTCAGTAGAGTAATTTCTTTTGCTGCCCTCCAGAGGGCCAGGTAATGGAGTCTGCTGGTCAAGCCTTCCTTCTCTGTAATATAGAGACAGAATCCATGAAGACCATTTTTGTTAAAATGGTTTTTTTTTTGTTTTTTCAAAAAGATAAAGGTCCATTTATGTTTGGTCTGAAAACACCTTTCTTGCATTTTTTATTAAGTTGTTAATAACCTAGTCATGTTATTCATTTTAGATATTTATCTCCTAGCCTTAGAGTAGGCATTCTAGTTCCTTAAATAGGTTCAGTGTCACAGAAGACAACCAACCGTATCTCTCCAGGGTCTAAGAACACTGAATCACATATGTTTTGAGCTCTGCACTCTGATTAAAGATTTTAGAAATATAAAAACTAAAAAATTCATGTGGAAGTTGGGTTTGTTTTTGTTTTTTTCCCTTTCTTTTGGTACCAGGGATTGAACCCAGGGGCTCTTAACCACTGAGTCATATACAATTTTTATTTTTTATTTTGAGACAAGGTCTCCTTAAGCTGCTGCAGCTGGCATTGAACTTGTGATCCTCCTGCCTCAACCCCCTAGTCACTGGGATTATGGGCAAGCTCCACCACACCTAGTGGATGTATTTAGAGCTCAGGTTCATTCTGTTTTTTAAAATGGATTGTAGATAAAAGCTATGTATGATCAATGTTATTTTATTTTTTGGTGTTAGGGATTGAACTCATGGCCTCATGCATATTAAAAAAACACTACCACTGACTGAGCTATGTCCCCAGCCCCACTGCTATGTATGTTTTCTGTATATGCATGAAACAAAACATTTGAAGTTGTATATGCATTCTATGGGATGGGACTTCATTCAGGGTTGATTTTCAAAGTTTGAATTTCTGATTAATTTTTAGTTGTTAGTGAAAGGACCCCAAATGACAACTTTTTTTTTTTTTTTTAATTTTGTATTACAATTGAAATGCTTGCAGGTGATTTAAAAACAACAGAATTGTTTGGTGATGTATGATTTCCTTCTGTCCCTCTGTTCTTATAGGAACACTTTTGTTACCACCTTCCTTTTTTTCCCCCCTTTTGAATAGGAGGTGAGGGATTTGAGCAAAATACGTTTAGATGTCTTTTTATATATGTTTACCCATATGTTCTGAATCTATCTTCACTAGCCTATTTAGAAGCATTTATTTTGAGACATAGAAGACAGCACTTTTAAGTTGAACATTTGGCTTTTAAAAATATATTTCAAGGAAGCCAAAGCAGGGAAGTAAATGTATTTTTCATTGTTGTATCAGAATTTTTAATTTTGTTTTAAAAATGCACTTTGAGAATAGATGATGTGTTTCTTAACCTCAGCCATCCCATGTAGATGAGTTGTCAATAGATGTGAGAACATTTAGGAACAACAACTTCAGAAATGGTTTGTCATAACTGGGTGTGCCATAACTCATCCATAGGTACATACCCTTGAGAAACTCTTACACATGTGCCAGGAGATGGATATAAAATTGTCATAATGGCAGCATTTGTAACAGGAAGAAAACGAAAAAAAAAAAAATGCTGGGAAGACCCCAAGTCAACATCTTTGTTGGATATATAGTGTGATGCATTCCTACCATGGAATTCCATAGAAGTGAAATTGAACTACAGCTCCACGTGTGAACCTGGATGACTCAACAGTATAATAATGGTCAAAAGAGCAAGTTACAGAAGGATTTATCCACTGTGGTTCTATTACTGTGCTGGTTAAAAACAGGCTGTTATATACATGGTAAATGAAAGAAAAATAAGGAAATGATTGACACAATTCAATGTCAGCTGGTGCTTTGGAAGTTTGGAAGGAAATGTGATCATGGAAGGCAAAGGGGTCTTCAGAGCAATTGGTGACACTCTTTGAAGTTGGATGGGCATTTTCTTTTAAAATTATGTTTATGTGCTTTGCTTTTGTATGTATGATATTTCTTAATAAAATTTAAATTTAAAAAGTGTGGGAAAGGTCTTGGTGTAGGTAGTGACTGATAACATGTGAACATAATGTACTTTATAGAATTAATCCTCCTTAAATGCCTGGCAGATTGAAAAGGTACTGTTTCTGGACTGCCAAATTCAGAGGCATAGTCATAGTTACTAAAAGCTAGAAACAAGACCTAGTTATGTTTCTTTGTGGTATCTTCTTACCCCCTTTTAATCTTAACAATTTAAATTTAACAATTTTAGTTTTGGTGCTATCCCGGTAGTGGATCTTTTCTGTTTATGCTAGTTTGAAGGGAAGCTTTTCTCAGACATAAGCCAGTCCAGAGGGGGAATCTGCTGAGCCACGCCCTACTCCTTCCCCTTTGTACCAGAGTTAATCTCTCTTTGGTTCTTGCTCTGATTTTAGTAGGGGTATAAGAAATAGTTAATACAGCTGTTTCTCTTTAAAAGGAAGAAAGTGATTGAAACTTGAAAAGCACCTGCAGATGCATTAGGTTCACATAGCTAAGGCCTCTGTCATCAGTTACTAGTTGCCTTCTTCCCCCCAGTCCTGCTCTCCAGATGAGACCTTTTTTGGGGGGGGGGGGCAGTATTGGGGATTGAACCCAGAAGTACTTAACCACTGAGTTAATGTCCCCCACCCATTTTTACATTTTATTTAGAGTTGCTTAGGGCTTCGCTAAGTTACTGAGGCTGCTTTTTTTAAAAAAATTGTTCAAAACATTACAAAGATCTTGACATATTTCATACATTTGATTCAAGTGGGTTATGAACTCCCATTTTTACCCCATATACAGATTGCAGAATCACATCGGTTACACATCCACGTTTGAGGCTGCTTTTGAACTCAAGATCTCTGGCCTTGGCTTCCTGAGTCATTAGAATTGCAAGCATGCCTCACCGTGCGTAGCCACAGAGGAAACATGGAGTGAGGTCTCAACATCCTTCCAAGTGCCATATATAGTAAAACCAGATGTAGCTCCCTACCCTAGTAAAACAATTTAAAAGTCATAAAGTGAAATTGTACCTTGTGTACAATTTTACAATCAATGACTTAGGTAAAAAACTACTGTCAACTTATACTTGAAACTATTTTGCTGTGTGGTTCTTTCCCTCCCTTTTGGGGTGTAGACTTTATTAATTTGGGTTTTGAGTTTGCTCAGAACCTTGTGATTAAATGGATTCTCTTGTAGATCATAGGAGGTACCTGTGTAAGTTCTGCATATTAGAGTAGTAGAAGCTTTCATCCTGACAGTGATTTTGTTTCAAGTAATAGGCTTATCAGATGCATTTAAAAACAACCTAAAAATCTTGTATTTCCACAAATGATGAATTCAGGCTGTTTATCACCCTTGGGCCCCTGCCTAAATTTTCCTCAAAGTAAAATTGAAAATACTTTAGGAAGGTGTCACTTGGGGATTGTCCTGTCACCACCCCAATCTCTTGGCATTGGGACACTGGGCTTTTTTTTTTTTTTTTTGGTACCAGGGATTGAACCAACGAGAAACATTTTCTGCCCCTTTTTTTGTTTTATTTCGAGACAGAGTCTCCCTAACCCTTTAGGTGTCACTAAATTCCTGAGGCTTGTCTCAAACTAGCAATCCTCCTGCCTCTGGAGCATCTAGGATTATAGGTGTGCCACAACACCCAGTGTAGGCCATTACTATGTTTTTTCTTTTTTATTTTTATTTTTTCATTACTATGTTTTTTAAAACATGCATAAGATGGGCATGGTGGTGCACACCTATAATCCCAGTGACCAGGAGTGGGAGGCAAATTTGAGACCAGCCTGGGAAATTTAGCAAGATCCTATCTCAAAAGTAAAATAAAGAATATGTGGCATAGGTGCTTAGTTACATTCATTGATGTAGCCATGGATGCCAGTTAAATTGCATTAACATTACATTCCATGAATGGTGGGATGGGATTCCCAAGCCTGTACCATTAACCATTTCCTCTTGAACAGTTGGGTAGAAGTGTTTGCATAATGCTTATATGTCTTCCTCACTCTTGATCATCACTGAGCTTTTGAGAAGTAAAAAAGAAACAGTGACCAGTTTCATATGCTGAAGATCCAATTAAAGCATTGAATTTGCCCACAGGGAGCTTTGGTATTTATGTATACCTCTTCTGTAATGATCAGAGATGACATCATAGTCTGTAGAAGTTATGGATATGTAAAGAAGTGGTAGTGTAGTGTGTGTGAGTAAAAGTGGGTAAGCGAGCAGCTAATGAGTGCTTAACAAAATACAAGTAGTTGTACTAGAAGTCAACTAGAAGAGTTGATTCAGATTCTAGGCAGTGTAGGGAGGAACTTAGCATATATTTGATGACAACTGACCTTGGAAATAGATGTTAGGTTAACAGCTGTGCTATCCTTCTCACTTGACTGAATTCAGTGGTTTGGGCTATGCTTGATTATTCTGTAAGTTTTCTTTTAAAAAGTCTTAAAGGTAGTTACTTGGGTTATATAAATCGTGCCATTTTATGGGTAAGTTTAAAAGTATGCAGATAGGACTGGGGATGTAGCTCATTGTAATTGCCTAGCATACACAAGGCTCTGCATTGGATCCCTAGTATCACCCAAAAAGAAAGTCAAGTGTTTTTAAAAATAGGGATTGTTGCTCTGCCCTTAATGGGGTTCACATGAAGGATACCCCTGTCATTTGCTCTGGCTGAATCTCATCAAAGCATACTGATTCCTAATCAGGATTGGGGTGCAACACTACAAAATAATTTGCTTTGGTGTGGATGTGATAGTTGTGTTTGTCAAAGGGCCACATCCCAGCCCTCTTTACTATGAGACAGGATATATTTAAGTTGCCCAGGTTGGCCTCCAACTTATTCTTCTTGCCTTACTTTAGCCTCCCAAGAAACTGAGATTACAGTCAAAGCCCTTTTGAATTTACTCTTCTCCCAGCTCAGAATTTGGAGATAAGGAATTATATTTTCCAAAGTTCAAACATGAAGTCAAATTTCATGTGTATCCAGCATTATCATTATAAAATAATGATTCCTGTTTAATTTGGGGGGTTAATAAGTCATTTTTGCGGCCTTACTATTGTAGCAGGACTTTTCTGTTAGAGATGGTGTGTATTGTATCCATTCAGAGCTTCCATTTTTCATTAAAAGGAGTTCTATTTCCTCAAAGTCCTGTAGTCTTCGAATGTCTTTGTCCTAAATATGGAAAAGAAATTATGTAATGGTTTATAAATAATCGATGAAGTCATGTCATCTTGGGTTCTTGCCTACACTCCTATTTCTCATTGTTTTGTCTTTATCCACTGTAAACCATTAGCACTTGAGAGTTGCGGTGTTTGTTGTTGGTGGTGGTATCCTTCTGCACTGGGGGTTGAACCCAGAGGTGTTCATCTATATCCCTCATCCCCAGCCCTTTATTTTCTATTTTTTGAGACAAAGTCTTGCTAAATTGCTCAGACTGGCCTGCAACTCGGAATTCTTCTGCCTCAGCCTCCTGAGTAGTTGTGGTTGGATTGCAGGTGTGCTGCACTGCACCGGCTCCTATTGGAGGTTTCTAAGGGGATGATAGTCCCACTTGATGCTGCTGAAGACAATGGGCAGGGCAAACATGTTTTAAAGCTAACTGCCAAGAATATGCCATAGCTGAGACACCAATAAAAATTGCCAAGGCACTTTGAAAAAAAAAAATACTATCTGAAGAAATGAAATTTTTCTGACCTGGGGATATAACAACACTTGCCTAGCATGTGTGAGGCACTGGATTTTATCCCCAGCACTGCCAAAAAAGAAAAGTTGTTCCTTCTGAAATTAAAATTTGAGATATGCATTTTTTTTTATTTTTTCACAAAATTTTTGTCAGTGGACCTTTATTTCTATGCAGTGCTGAGAATCGAACTCAGTGCCTCTCACATGTGCTAGGTAAGTGCTCTACCACTGAGTTACAACCCCAGCCCAGAGGTCTGCATTTTCAATCTGGAAAATAAATGAATTTGGTTTTGTGCAATTACAGAGGCAGACCTTTGCTAAACAAAGAGTGGGCTTGTGTTTTCTGTCCTGAGGACTATGCCACCTTTTGTCAGCCAGGCAGATTTGCAGAGATTGCAGTGCCAAAAATACTGAATTGCAACTCCTAAGTTGGGAAATCACTTGTCATTCAGAGGTTTTTAAAGAGGTCATGGATTAGTAGTTATTCAACGTTATCTGCTACCTTGCTTGATCATTCTATAGGCTGAATTTCTAATATCTTTAATTTCATTTTCATATTAGAAATGCAACAGTTGACTCACAGAACATTCCCACCTCATTTAGAAACTTGTAAACCTTACCTTTCTGAGCAGAGTGTTAGGTAGCTTTCTGATCTTCTCCACTTGCTCTGGGTTAATCCCCAGTTCACAGCAACTCACTTTTAGTAGGTTTTGATAACTCAGCTCTTGTCTGTGCAGTTCAATTTCAATGAAGTCATTTTCTTTGGGGCTCTGAATTCTTACTTTAAGCACCAACTCTAGATCGCCCATAAATTAAAATTTAATTTTAAAAATACGCATTTTAGAGACTTTGGACATTATCATTTATTACAGCATAGATGATCCTAAGTACTGAATAATAAGTAGACATGGAGTTTCCATAGACTAAACGTTTTTCATTCATAAGCTGATTTTTTTTCTTTTTTCTTGCATGCTGAGCAAACTTCAGGATGTATTGCAAACAGAAAGCTTACAGTTTGAAAGCAGCCAACAATTTAGATATCAATTTTGTTTCAGGGCTGGGGATCAAACCCAGGACCTCACACATGTGGGCACTGTCCATTGAGCTACACCTCCAGCTCACAGCCAAGGACTTAAAATATGCAGTGGGTATTTATATGCCTCACCCCTGGGCAATGCATAGCAGTTGTTTTTACCCTGGTTATTTGGAAAACTTCAGGGACATGTCTCACTGAGCAGAGTGCAAACTTTGTGATTCCTACTACACCCCCTGAGAGGAGGAGTCTGCCCTCTTTTGGAATAGTGGTACTAAGTGTAAGTCTTCAATCTACTGTCCTGAGAAGGATTATATGGCCTAACAGTGCACTGTAAGCCACCTGGTGAATTTGGCTTTGCAACATGGTGGAGGGCTTGAGTCCTCACCTAGGCAGGTGTTGTTAGGTTTGGCATTAACACTTGGGGCACTTGTCGAGTGTGGACTGGTGCCTTCTTGCTTATGTTCACCTGGAAGAGAATTAAAAGAAGGAAAAGTTGAGAAGCAGCAGCACCTCAGCATGTGGCTGGTGGCCAGATCTGCGGGTCAGATGAGGGACAATGACGCTCTCCAGTCCTGCCCTGCAGCCTATCCTCCCCTTCTTAGGCGGAAAGCCAGGTCAGGAAAAGGGCAGTAATTACTTTCAATCTTGAATAGTAATTTTCCTTAATCACCACCCAGATCATGAAGGGGAGCTGAGACGGTATTTTTAATGGTGTATAATGTGGGGAAGAAATATTTATAATGTGTGTGCTTAGGATTCCACTTAAATATTTTCAACCCTGAGTGTTTTATGTTTAGATCGCTAGCAGAGTTACACAGCTAAAAAAGGTCGCTTTATAAGGAGAAACGTTTTCACCCAGAGGGAAGAGAAGTATTTGCATAGTGCTTTGCATGAGTCAGTCCTTTCACATACTTCTTTCTTTCTCCCCTATCCACTGGACACAGAAAGCCTGACCTATACCAGACACCAGGCCAAGCCCTTGGGGAAATGATTAAGAAACAACTCCAAGAGATCTCTTCTAGAGTTTATAGGCTGGCAGCAGAAATACATTAGTAAAGGGGAAATCATGAGGGCACCTGGTGTGGTGTGCCAAAGGCGAGCCCCGCAGTACTGTGGAAGTATATAAGGGGTCAAGAAAGGTTTCCCTGAAGGTGGAGCCTCCGACCTCCATCTAGAGGATGAAGAGTTCTAACCAGTTCCAAAGGACAGAGGGTGGGAGGAGCTTCTGGGCCCTGTGGGAGAGGAAAACAGCCCACATGTAGCTGCAGGGCAGAGAGGCGGTAGCAGCTTGATTATGGGATTAGCCTTGTGCTGTCCAGTTAAGTAGCCACTTGTCAAATGAAATTAGATACACACTGGATTTTGAAGACAGTGTGGAAAAAAAATTTTCGTTCATTTTTGCTACTGATTACATATTGAAATGATGATGGTTTGGATATATTGTATGAAATAAAGCATTAAAATTTTTTTTTAGTTGGACACAATGTCTTTATTTTTGTTTATTTTAATGTGATGCTGAGGATCGAACCCAGGGCCTTGCATGAACTGGGTGAGCGCTCTACCGCTGAGCCACAACCCCAGCCCCCCTGAAATAAAGCATATTATCAATATTACTTCCACTTGTTTCTACTTTATAAAATGTGGCTACTAGAGAACTTTAAATGCAAACGTGGCTTGAATTGTATGTATGTTGCCCAGCACTATTCTAGTGAAAGGTTTTGGTCTCAGTTTTCAGCAGGAATTGTCATAATCAGACTTGCATTTAGGTTGTGGCAGAGAGGAAGGGGACCGCTCACTGCTCTCAAAAGAATCATGTGAAGATTAGACATAATTTCCATTTCAGACTAAAACATTGGGGCTAAAAGGTGAAGATCTTGCTCCAAGTTAGTAAATGGCAAGACCTGTGTGCAGCTGGGCCTGGCTACATTATCTGTGGAGCCAGTTACAAAAGAAAAGTGAGGAAGGCAGTCTCCCCTTTCCACAGATGGATGACCTGCGAGGGACTGTAGCCTCACTCCCTGGACATCCTGGCTGCCTGGTGGGGGAGCTGAGAGGCCAGCTCTTCCTGCGGCCACCCTTGCAGCATACCATGGTGCTGCCTGCCCCTTCCTTGACTCCTGATCCTTCTTATGTCTGAGCCCCATCAAGGATGCAGATGACAGCAGAATGAGGGACTCTAGCAGATGGTTACAGCTGGGGCTGGCCTAGGTGTGAAGGCCACAACGCCCCCATGCTCCATTGTTCTATCTGATTCCACTTTTTAAAATATAAATTCAAAGCTAAAATTAGAAAAAAATTCAAGTCAATGACCAGAACATGACATTCCAAGCCTGTGGCCTTTCTGAATGCAACCCTTGTGCCACAGTGCCAAAGCCCCTCCAGCAAAGAGGCATCGTGCCTGGCTTATTAGCCTTTCTTTGCACAGCAATAAAGTCCCTCTCCCAGTACATGGGGCTCTGCAGTCTAGTCCTTGCCCTTCTACCCTGAGCCATGGAGGTGGCTCGGCACACAGTGAGACCCCTCTCCCAGGCAGTGACTCAGGCACCAGTCCAAGACAGGAAAGACACCTTCCTGTCACTTCAACTTACCCGACACATGATGCAAGAACTTTCCACCCTAGTCCACCATGCTTAAAAATCTCTTATTGTCTGCTGGGCGCACTGGGGTAAGCCTGTCATCCCAGCGCTTGAGAGGCTGAGGCAGGATGATCACAAGTTTGAGGCCAGTCTCAGCAATTTAGTGAGGACCTAAGCAACTTAATGAGACACTGTCTCAAAAAATAAAAATGGGGGCTAGAGATGTAGCTCAATGGTAAAGCACTCTGTGTTCAGTCTCCAGGACCCAAAATAAAAGTGTTTTGGGGGTCCAATTAGCACATCAGATCATCTGTGGATAAGTAGGCTCTCACAGAGATCCGATAGCACTTTTTTAAGTCAGAGAGATTTGGGTCTGTTCTTCCTCAGCTACTTAGTAGCAGTGACAGTTTAGACAAGTTTATATAACCTATTTGAGCCTCAGTTTTCTTTTTTTTAAATTTTTTTTAAAGAGAGAGAGGAGATAAGAAAGAGAGAATTTTAATATTTATTTTTTAGTTTTCGGCGGACACAACATCTTTGTATGTGGTGCTGAGGATCGAACCCGGGCCGCATGCATGCCAGGTGAGTGCGCTACTGCTTGAGCCACATTCCCAGCCTGAGCCTCAGTTTTCTGATCTGAAAATGAGGTTCATCATCTCTGGCTCACAGTAAGAAGGCAAGGAGGAAGTCCACAGAAGGTGGACACTCCTGGCACAAGTGAGCACCAGGAATTGCTGGCTGCTACCAGCATTTGTCATAGCTGTTGCTACCTGCGTCCCCCAGAAGGGACACTTGGTCCAATTGCTCTACTCTGATAGACTGTCAGAGTGCGAGAGGTCATGGGCCCTGCTGGGCACAGGATCACCCTGGACCAGACTTCCCCACTCCCCTCCACATGTTCATTGAGGGCTGGGATGGAAGCAGAACTCCAGACTCACCTGCTGACTTCTCTCCGATATCCAGTTCCGCCTCAGCCATGGGTCACCTCTGTGGTCCACAGATCAGCAGCCCCTCTTACCTTTATGCACAAACTTTCAACCAAATAAAAAAGTGCTTTCTAAACCCTCCGCACATCTGCCTGCAATAAAAACAGTATGTTCTTGTCATCAGCCCCATAAGATGGGGCAAGGTCATTTTTATTTTACGGCTCAGCAAACTGAGACTTCCCCATACGGGCCACCAAATGCCGCAGTCTGGCTGGGCACAATCAGGAGCCACTTGTCAAAAGAAACTAACTTTATTTTTAGAACCACACAAGCCAAACAAAACAGCCTCCCAGGAAAAACCCTCAGAGCCTCAACTGCCACCACCAGCTTTCCACAAACCTCTCTCTCCCACACAAGCTTCTCTCCACCTCCCACAATCCTCCTGCTCTTGAGGCCGATTGGCTGGGTCATGTGGGCGGAGCCAAAAAAGTCCCCCAATGAGCAGCTCCCTGGTCTGAAAGGGCAGGGAAACAGCCCAATGAGCATCACCGCAGAGGAGCCAATCAGCTAGATGTTGCTGGTGCCGCTGTGAGCCAATCATCAGCCGGCAGCTGGAAGTTTGCTGGCAGCTGGAAGTTTGCTGGGGCCCTTTCAGCTGTGGTTCTCAACAGGTGTGTTGTATGATTTGCACTGGGTGATGCAAATGAAGAAAGAGACTGAAGTTCAAGGCTCCCCACTCCTTCCCCAGACTGTCCACTGGGAATGGTGCAGTCCAGGCCAACAGTACTTATGTAAAGGAATGGCACCCTTCAGAGGGGAGACCTGAGGGGCACAGCCAGGCACCCAGCCAGACCCTAGCCTGGAATCTAACCCACCTTGGGAAAAAGTTAGAAGCTACTACATTAAGGGTAAAAAATAAATCCAATACTTAGTTTCTGGATTGAACAGACTCTGCCTCCTCCCCTGTTGTCTCTTCCTTTTCTCTCAGCAGCTGTGCATGACAAGAAAGAAGTAGGAAGCTCCCAATTCATACCTGGGCAGACAGCCTTGTGGATGATCCTGGATCCCTTGATTCTAAGCATTGAAGTGGAACAGGCAGGCTGGAGCAGGAGGTTCCGTGATGGGTGGGTGGGGCAGCACAAAGTCCTGTCTCAAAGGCCAGATGAAGACAGGAGGCATTTTAGCAATGGGAACCTTTTGTCTGGGTGACCCACTTCATTTAACCCTCCTGAGACAGAGGATGGTCAAATCGATGAGAGAGCCAGTGGGCTTCAGCATCAAAAAGCTGGAGGGGGGTCCAGGTTGTGGCTCAGTGATAGAGCGCTTGCCTGGCACGTGCAAGGCCCTGGGTTCGATCCTCAGCACCACATAAAAATAAACAAAATAAAGATATTGTGTCCAACTACACAATGTATTTTTTTTTTGGTTGTTGTTCTTTTAAAGAAAAAGCTGGAGGGAGGCAGGCCTAGAGGTGCATGACTCTAATCCCAGGGATTTGGGAGGCTGAGGAAGGAGGATCTCAATTTCTAGCCCAGCTTAGGAAATGTAGCAAGATCCCGTCTCAAAAATTTTATCTCAAAAATAAAAATGGCCCCAGGGATATAGCTTAGTGGTGGAGCACCCCTGGGTTAAATCCCCAGCGCCACAAACAAGACAAAAGGAAAGGAAAAAAACAAAGAATAACTATTAGTGGCTTGAGAGGCTGAGACAGGAGGATCACAAGTTCAAAGTTAGCCTCAGCAACTTACCCTTAACCAATTTACCTGTCTCCAAAAGAAAAAAAAAAAAGATGAAGGATTAATCTTCATCTGGGGCTGGGCTCAGTGGTTAAACATCCTGGGTTTAATCTCCAGTACAAAAATACAACAAAAATTAAAATACCCCAGCTGTGACTGCCCCCTCTGCCACTCTACAAGGAGTTTGAGTTAGTTGGTCTGGGTTGGTTGCCTCCTGGATCCTGGAATTTTTAAAGCTCCCCAGCTGATGGTAAGGTGCAGCTAAGGCTTGATTTGGCCAACCTGCTTAAGAAGCAACTGGGAAAACTGAAGCCTTGCGAAGTGAAATGCTGAGAGTCACGTGGCCAGCCACACACAAGCTGACCTCCCCAGCCGGGCACTGGTTTCTTCCTGTCAGGAATGGAGGAAGGTGGGGGCTGTGGGAGGAGGAAGTAGAGGGATCTGAGAATGGGAAAGAAAATGTACTTTGGCTAACCCAGCTGCCAGGGTGTGGGGAGCCATAAAAAGGGCACCTGAATGGGCAGGGCCCAGAGGTACAGAGGAACTGTAGATGAAGGCCTGTCTGGATGGGGGGCCTGCTCATCCCCCACTCCCCATTCAGGCATTCCTTCACAATGTCGCTCAACAACACTCACTTTTTTTTTTTCTTTTTCAGGGGGCACTCTTTTAAAATTTTTATTTTTTAAATGAAAGTGTTGCATGTTCCAGTTTTAAAAAATCTAAGAATGCTAAAAATCAGAGCCCAGTAGCAAGGAAGGAGGGAATGTTTGCTTGGGGAGGTGACCAACTGCCACATGGGCCTCTGTGGGTTTTTTCCTTCATTTACCTGGATACTTAGTGGTACCTTTGATCTGTATATTAGCTACTGTCTGTGTGCTTGTGGGAGGTGGCATTTAATTTTGATATACAATGTTTCAAGCTTACAGAAAAGTTGCAAGAACATAAACCTTTTACTATTATCATTATGCTGTCTTTGCTTTAATGGTCCCTCTAGTTTGGTCTATGCTTGGAATCCCAGCAACTTGGGAGACTGAGCAGGAGGATGGAAAGTTCAAGGCCAGCTTCAGCAATTTAACAAGACCCTGTCTCACAATAAAAAAATAAAAAGAGCTAGGGATGTAGCTTAGTGGCAAAGTGCCCCTGGGTTCAATCCCCAGTTCAGAAAAACAAACAAACAAATCTCTCTATGTATATTGGATATATTTATATGTATAACATACACCCTTACACCCACATTTAACTCCTAAACCATTTAACTAAATTGTACATATCATACTCCTTCACCCTTAAATATTGCAGACTATAGGGTTGGGGTTGTAGCTCAGTGGTAGAGTGCTTACCCAGCACGTGTGAGCCCTGGGTTCGATACTCAGCACCACATAAAGATAAATAAATAAAATAAAGGTATTGTATCCATCTACAACTACAAAAAATATATAAAAAGATTGCAGACTATATATATATATATTTTGGGGGGGTACTGGGGACTGAACTCAGGGTCTCACTGAGTTGCTTAGCACCTCGCCATTGCTGAGGCTGGCTTTGAACTCGAGATCCTCCTGCCTCAGCCTACTAAACCTCTGAGATTATAGGTGTGCATCACCACGCCCAGCCAGACTATATTTTTAATATCAATGTTTTTTTTTTTTAAGATTTCTAAGACATAATGATCCAAATCAGAAAAGCTGACATTGATTAACACTATGAGATCAATCACAGTCCCTGATCAAATTTTATCACTTAACTTACCCATATCATTTTCAGCTTTTCTTTTTTCTTTTTTCTGCCTGGTCTAAGATCCAATCCAGGATCATGCCTTGCATTTTATTTTCATTTCTCTTAAATTTCTTTAATCCGGAACACTTCTTCAGCCTCCCCCTTCCCCCCCATGACCTTGACATCCTTGGGTTTGTCGGCTGTTGCCTCGTGTTTAGGTGGATTGTGTGTCTGGGCAGTAACACCCCAGCAGTGATCTCCTCTCCTTCTTGATGCCTCCTATCAGGATACTCACACAAGTGTGTCCGTTTAGGACAGTAACTTTAGTCTCTTGTGGAAGGAGGTATCTGCCAAGCTTTCTCACTGTGAAGCGAAGCTTCATATAAAAAAGTTTTAACTATAATTAATGCAGAGATACTGTGAGACCAAAATAGATAGCCTGTTCTTCAAAACCTCACCCTTTAGTTTTTAGCAACAGTTGATTTTGAACTGAATCAGTTGTTACTAAGATGATTCGGGGAAAAATTCTCTAACTCCGTTTTTCTTTCTACATTAATTATCTGAGATTCTACTGTAAGAAAGCCCTTTCCTTCTCATTTATTCATTTCTTATCAGTATGGAGGGCTGGGGGTAGAGCTCAGTGGTAGAGTGCTTGCCTAGCATACACAAGACCCTGGGTTTGATCCCCAGCACCAGGAAAAAGGGTGTGGAGGGTGGAATTTGCATCAGTTAGCTCTGGGAATTTCACAAAAAACAATTAATCTCATTGTCAGTATGGACTCATGGATTATTATTCTATTCCATGGGTCATAATCCATCAATGTCTCATTTAGTTTTGTTGTAGGGACAAATGAGGCAAGGCACCGAATATAGCAGGAAACAGTTTTATTTGGCTGCAGCCAGGTTCAGAGGGCACAGCTTTTGCTGTAATCAATTAATTCCCTGAACCCCGAGTTCAGGTAGTTTCAGAGTTTAATACCCAGCATGTAAGAGGAGGGACTCAGAAGTTCACAGTCTGCAGAAGTTCACATAAAAGCAGCTTTTTCGTTCACTGTTCTGGGCAAGTTAACTCTTCAAGGACAGCACCTGAGAAGGGGAGAGCTTCTGCTCCCCTTTCTTTCCTCCCCCTGCCAGCTGTTACCATGGAGCCCAAATGTAACTTATCTTAAAAATGTAGACATCTCTGTGAAGCCCAGCTCAAGGCCAGAGGCCTTGTTTGCACATTTCTACAAAGTACTATACTGGATACGTTTGTGAAAAACTAGTAAGGGGGTGTCCAGCACCTGGAGTGCTGGTATCTTCCCGGTCAGTGGCCAAGTAAACAGGGTGACTTGAAAATAGGAAGATTATCTACATTGGACTCTTTTGCAGAGACCCTTTTGCTGACAGTCCTAAAAACAGTCTGGGTGAAGATTTCTAGGGAAGCCCAGTTAAGACTTTTCTGTGGAGAAAGGGGGTGCCACTTTAGTTTGATGCATAAACTATGCCAACTTTATCTAGTAGGGTTCCCTTACACCTGCTCCCTATAATCTTTGACAAATCCCTCCATTTTATTAGGACTTTTCTTAGATTCTAGCACATCAAGATGAAAGGAGACAGAGGCATGAGCTGTGGGAACGTGGAGTTCAGGGGATAATTCTATAAAATGGACCCACTGTGCTGACCCCCACATGCTTTCACTCTTAAAAAGCAACTTAACTGGGGCTGGGGCTGGGGCTCAGTGGTAGAGCACTTTCCTAGCATGCGTGAGGCACTGGGTTCGGTCCCCAGCACCACATTAAAAAACTAAACAAAATAAAGGTATTGGGTCCATCTACAACTAACTAACTAACTATATATATATATAATTTTATTTTATTTTTTGTTGTTGTTTTTTTAAGCAAT